GGTGTGAAATTCCATGTATATTATAAAAACATAGCTTTTAGTGTGTTTCTTTTCATATCTTCCTTTTGAAATGGAAATAAAGTATCTGCCACCTAAAAATCACCAACAGATTTAGCAAGTTTGTAAGTTCACAATACTTAGCCTAGAGAATAAATACTATGACTTGAAATGAAATCAACATAATTTCAAAACAGGACTTACTGAAAAAATTTATTTCCCATAGCTGTAAGGATGTTTAACAAGCAACAACTAAGAGGCAAGTGAAAAAATTAATACAATAGGTTACTTTTTAGTATGACAATAAGACAGAAATCATTCCTTCGATAACAGCAATTTACCATCTTCTGCTTATTCTTGTCAATACATATCCACTCGTAGGTCATTAAATCTGAATTAACGGTCTGATGATTCTAATGACTTCAAGGAGCCATCATGACCAGTCTCACAGTAGAAGTTTGACTCCTTATATTGAATAGAAACTGTAGACAGTATTGAACATCCTTATTAAAAATCAATAAAGAGCACATGTGGTCTAGCAGGCTGAAGGAACCGGTTAACGAGATCCTTAATGCTTTCTACTTCTAGGGCAATTATGCATCAATTCCCATGTAGCTGCGTGATGAATGAAAAAATTTGACAGCAGTAGCTCCCATTCAACAGATAAATCATTTTTGTCAGACCTCAGAGCATCGGTCAAACTCGTTGACAGAGGCGAGAGTCTAAAGCTTTCTTTGCACGACAGGACAGACCCACCTTTTCAGATCAAGGCAGAGTGACTTCATCAAGGAAGCAAAATAAAACACGATTTATTTTTTTTTTCTGTAGACAATACGTTAAGGATATTAGTATTCAGTATCCATACTTTCTGTATTAATAGTGTATGAGTATTTCTGACAACTGAACATCCTCAGGTTTTGGTTAATTTCAATTTCAATGCATTATGGGAGAAATAAACTCATATCCCACTCTTTCACCCTTTCCTGACTATTCAAGGGAAACCCAACCACTATCCACTATTTCATATTACTCTCTGTAAAACGTAAGCAGTTTATCCTGCAAAGCAAACCACAGCTAGACAAAGCAAAGATGTTTTAGTGTCCATCTCATCTCCTGCCTAAGAGAGGATCACTGGATTTTTATCGAACACAAGGGAGCAACAATAATGTGAATATCAGAAAAGGACTAGGGAATGAAGTAAATTAATAAGCATGAAGGGGGGGGGTGGGGAGGCACAAAAATAAAATGGAATAAAGGTGATGAGCGAGGAGCAAGACAGGACAGAACAGGGATGGCCTAGATAGAAACTCTTCCCCACTGTTTTTTTAATTTGTTTCTGTGGGATTGGGATGAGGGTGGTGTTTGTCTGATTCAAAGCTTGCTACAGTCAGGTACAAAAAAAAAAATCCCTTTCAGCGACATTAGATAGGTACCAAATACAAGATGTCACTTAAGTGCTGAAACTTACCATATTCAACACTTCTAATTATTTTCATTACCCTTTCTATTCAGCAAAATGATGGAAAATAAGGAGAAACAGCATATTGATACTGAAACAGTAGATGAAAATAGAGGAAAATAAAGTTATTTTAGGAACAGAAATAACCGGTGTAAAGATCAGAGTATAGAACACACTGAAGTAACAGGAAAATACAGGAACAAAAAGATAACTTAAAAATAGCTTGGAAAGTGTATCCTATAGACTCAAATGTTGTTTGAGAAACTACTGAAGAAAACCAGTAAAAAGCCCTCTGGGAGATCTATTTTAAAAGACAACACCAGCTCAAGTACTCAACCTAACTCCATTTTCCTTAAAGAGAAAATGACTCAGACCAAAAATTGGGAATCACAAAGTAAACCAAGACACCTATGGAAAGAACACAAGCGATAACGCTCTTGGCATTGTTTTGTTGAACTGAACCTAAAAAAAAAGCCCAAAACAATTTCCATGAGATAGAGAAGAATCTCCTAGGCTTATCTGAATATCCTAATGGATACAGCAAATTTAGAAGTTGTTTCTTATTTCATTTTTCACTTCATATGTTACATAAGAAAGGCCAGTCTTAGAAAAGATCTTTTATCTTCCCGAGCAGCACGAGCAGAAATTGTACAACTTTCGCTGCCAAGAGACAAGTTTGAAAAAGGAAGACAATCTAATTTCCAAGTTTCATTAAATGTACAATATTCTTTTTCAGATCATGACCGAGGTCATCCCTTGTAGCAGAAGATTTCCTGCAAAAAGATCACTGGGTTGTTGGAAGTGGACATGAGCAATCTCATCTCACTTTCACCATAGATTCATTTGTCTGTTGCTTACTTTTACAAGCAGTCAAAGCTATGATTTCACCTACAATCTGTATATGAAAGGCAACACCACTGCATTATCAATATGACAAATCAGTCTCATCCCTCCAAGAATAATTCTCATGAAGTCTGTCTTTTTTATGTGACTGCTCTTTCAGTCAGCAACATCCTTCCCTCTGAGTAATACTTTTGCAGCATTATCAAAGCTAGAAACGAAACTCAGATTTGAAATGCTGGGTGAGTAACTGCAGCTCTGTACGCAAGATGCACAACATTAGGAGATCTTTGAGTCTGCACGGAATGTCATTGCAGAATTCGGACAAAGAAACGCATCCATATGGCTCAGCTTGAAGAGCAGGAGCCAAAACAAACCTGTAAAAACTGGATGCGCAACAGAACTGCAATCTTGCACAAGTCAAGATCTACTACAAGTCCTTATTTATACTGTTGTCCAGCCTTAACACTGACAAAGGCAGTAATAATTCCTAATTCCTACCAGGTATGTGAAAAGGCTGACTTTTCCAACAAGAAACAGTGTATGCAGCTTTTAGAAACTATTCTACTGACCATGAAAGTAAAACGCTCAGCAAAAAAAGGCCAATAGCTATTTTTCACTTAATCCTACCTTGTTGGACATGGAAATGTTAAGGATGAAGACACTCATGCTCCCCTCCCCCACCGCCCCTTTTATTTTTTTCTAATTTTTAATTTCTGGGGAAAGGAACAGGTCCTGTCACAAGAGGTATAATATCAGAGGTAGGTGACTTTCCTTTGCCTCTTACAGATGAAGGCAAACGCCTGAAGTATCCAAAGCTCTGTGCAAGTAAATCATGTTCAGTCCTATCATTCTTCCCTTGCTAACTGGGACTACTTCCAGATGCAAAGTAGCAAAAGATTCAGTTTCTCAACTACTTTCCATTATTAGTTTTGATGGCCATCACCTTGCCTGGGATCCAGTTACCACTTCAGGATGATACTCACCTATGAGTGACTGAAAAAGGTAACTGTCCTTTACAAATTATCTATTGGCCATAACAGTAAAGAATAAACACAGCCTATCTGAAAGATAGCCTATCTCAGCTATCTGAAACTAAATGTAAAAGAGTTCAAGTGGCTTTTCTAGGGTTATTATTCAACATCTCTCTCTGCAGCTTTTTTCTATGCTTCTGATCTGCATGAGCCAGCTACCTTCAGTATCAATATCAGCTTCAATAGCAACTGCTTGTCAATATCACATACTCTGCATTTTTTCACTGCATAATTATTTCTTATTTAATATTCCTTTTTTTTTTTTTTACTACTGTCCTAATTTAACTCTTTCCAAAGCCCCCATTTTTCTTGCCTGTCACAGGGCAGAAACAAACCATGTTTTGCATCTCTGGAAACACCTTATCTAACACAGGAACTTGATGGCTCAGAATTTCATTATTTTAGCAAATATCTTATAGTCTTCATTCCAACCTACACATAGTTCTTCTCTCTCATCACTACATCTTCTGTCTTGTTGCAGAAGCTGATCACTATCCGTGAGGTATCCTCCTCACTCACCTTGTGGTAGACTTTCTCCACATCCCTCCATGGAGCTTTGTCATGAACAGCTCTAAAAGACGTTGAGATGAAATGCAGCTGGAGCACCAGAGCAGCCATCCTGCCTCCACAACTGCTCTTGCTCCTGCTCCAATAAAACACAGGTCAGCTCTCCTGCTCCCTGGCACACATAGCACACCTTGCTGCCTGTGTTTGTGTGCATTTTAAGCCTTCTACTTATTGAAAACATTCCTAGGTGCAGTTTGGAAAATATCTGCTAAAAGCAGCCCCATCATGCTGCTTCTGTTCTGCTCCTCCCCTGCTCCGTGAGCAGGCGGCACAGGGAGATAGGTATTCATTCTTTGCTGCGTCAAATATCAATGGCAGCCAACACTCTCTCAAGAGTACATGTAGCCAGGGCAGATGGGAGGGGAGCATACCAGAAGCTTCTGAATCAAAACCCAGCTGACAAATCCAGTGCTTGATTCACCAGCTGCAGTATCCTGTGATAGAGAAAGCCATCCTTCTCAAATCAAAAATCACAGTGCAAACACACTTTCTTCAGGGAAAATGATCATTAAAATATATGGTGTGTTGAACGAAGTAAGTGGGAGGTGATTGGCATCCACGTGCATCGCAGCCCTCAGGGAAACCTAAGAAAATCAAATGCAATTTCTCCCCTTTTCGCAAATGCACATGAAGTATTCAAACAAACTAAAAACCAAACAAACAAAAAGAAAAAAAATCTGGAAATAAATATTCTGATATGTTAATGAGCTTACATTTCTTTGATTAAAAAAGGTCAGAAATAATACATCAAAACACACTGTACAAGCTATGAGCTATTCTCAAACTTACCTGAGCCTTCCCTGAAGACGGTGTTTTTCCCTGCACATGCACTGTACACACACACACACAGAGGCACACGAAGCGTCAGCACGCTTCGACAGAGAATTAAGAGAAGGTGAGTGCGAAGACCTCATCTAAGGAAGCGTTAGGCTTTTCGCTACCTACTTGCAGACCCCGTCTACAGCACCAAGAAGCCGCCCACTACCATGCCGGGTTAGCGAGAGGCTAATGAGGATCTAGCGGAGAGCGGAGGCGCGGGACAGACCGCGGCCGGGGGTTAGTGCGAGCCCAGGTCGGCTCCCGAGGCGTGGAAGGGCACTTACTGACGCTGCCACAGACCGCCATGCAGTACTCCTCCGAGTCAAAGTTGTTCCGGTTCCCGCCGCAGCCGCCGTAAAAGAAGGGCGCGCACTTTCCTTCGGCCACGTCAAAGTACCAGCGGGAGATCATCGCGCGGCAGGGACCCGTCTCGGCTTGCTCAGAGCACACCTCTAGTCACAGGAGACCCGGAGGAACCACATTTAGCGTGAAAATGGTATTGTCTTGGATTCTTAGTTAGGTGCCTCTCAATGTCCACGCATGCCAGCGAGGAAGGAGATGCACCAAGGAGGTGTTTTGGGGAACAGGAAACCCCTCCCTGGAAAACCACCCCCGAGACAGCAAAGGTGAATTTTGAACTGACCCAGATTTGTGCCACTAAGTCTCCTTAGCCTGCCTACATTGTTATGTTTTTAGCTACTTCTTCTGCACACTCAGCACTGTTGCCCTGAAACAAGCTCCAGCACGGTGGCAACGGCAGAAGCGCGAAGTTTTGTCTGCTTCCAGGCCAGAGGGGTACAACCACCCCAGGAGCTCCTGCCCACGAGACCTGCTGATGGCCCCAGGCAGATTCCTGCCCAAGCCTGTCTGCAAGGGGAACATCTGAAAGCAGAACGTGCCACTTTTTTTCTTGCTGGTTTCTAGCTACAGATCCTCCCTGCCCCTCAACTGAGGTTTCATAGGTTATACAAAAGAAAAAACAAAATAAAAATATTGATGACTTATAGAGGAAAACAAATTCTCTTAAGACATGTATTTATAAATAGTCATTGCCAAAGAAACTCCCTCTTGCAAGCTGCCTGGCAAAAGGTTTACAATTCATAGTTCGAGGGCTCACATATATAAAATTACTGCCATAGCTTTGGCCCATCCATGGGAGGAAATCTCATCCCCAGTGAATATATACAGGAAAAAATTGAAACGGTTTGTGTTTGTGTTCATTATGAACTGCCACAGTCTCTGCCTACATGAAAACCTGAGGGAAGAACCAAACCACACAAATTAAAGGAAGACAAAGCAAATTCTGCCCACAATTTGGAACTCAGCCAATTACACATGTAAACGTATAGCCCTTTACCAATAATGTTCCAAACAGACAAAAACAGTTTTATCCTTCAACGTGCTGCATAAGTCATTTCAAATCTACATAATGTTAAACACCAATACGCCCCTCCATTTGCTTTCATCCCACGCACTGCATCGGCAGACAAACTGGTACGTTCAGCTAGAGGCTTCTAAGTCCTCTGCATATATTTGAATTTTGTGGAAGGCAGATCCCCAAGGGTTGCAAGGTATTAAGAAATATCAGTGTATTAGTACTGAAAATCCCCCACACGCTCATAACCTCTCAGATTTTGGCCACAAAGAACCCCACTTTTCAGAGTCTGTCCTGATCCATCACTTCACTCTCCCGAGGAGCATCACTATTTATAAATAGATTTTGCGTCCAATTGTCATTAGCAGTCAGTGTATAGTTACATTTCGTTAAATATATAATATGGGCATAATTTTACATATGTTTACCATATTCACATATCCTGTCTATAAATAACATCAAGAATCAATTTTAGGGAGCATATGTTTGGTCTAAGAGAAACAGCTTCAAGTGTATTTGACCATCAAGGATGTGCTACAAAAGTCACAATTCTGTACCAAGCAATTAGGGGGGGAAAGGAATAGCAGGGAGTGAAGGAATACTATTTTTTTTTTACTTTAAGAAAAAACAAAATAAGCATATTTAATTGTGTAACACATTAACTACAATTAACCATATGATTAATTATAGACCACATTTAGTACACAAGTATCTCTTCTGATTTATTTTAAAAATCAAATCCAGTCCCACCATCCAATTACACAGTCAAATCTTCACACAAAGCTAACTTTGCACAGCCTTGGAAGAGCCGCCACATGTCAATTAAAAACGAACAATGACTCTTGACATTAGAGACAGGTATAATCAGCAGGATTTTTGCTGATGGGAAATGTCATTTCAAAAAACACAAAGGTCTCTGCAACTCAAGTCTTTCTTAGTTAATGTTGAGTATGGGCTGACCTCTATCCACATAGTAAGGACCTTCTAGGTTTCCCTCAAATTACCAGTTCTGCTATAAAGTCTGATTTACTTCATATTGCACTGTTAAGTGCTATCAGAATGGGAATGGTTCACAGATTTGACCTGAAATATCCTATAGGTACCTCTCTCACAGAAATAGCAGTGGAGATTTTTTTGCATGTGCAAAAGTGAAGGTAATTGCCCATCAAATAACTGATGCCAGTGGTAACAAGGAATTGGCTCTTTGGAAACTAAAGTAATTTTTCCATGTGAAGATGCACTTGGACAAGCATTCAGGGAACCACGGGGTAATACATTAAAAAGAGCAAGCCTGAAGCACCGCAGCCCAGTGTCTGGCAGGCAGACAGATCTGCCTCATGCCCAACCTGTCATCTCCCACCAGGTTGGTGGTGACAGTGCAGGGCAGTGGAGGGACATCCAGCCTGCACAGCCAACTGTACTGCTATTGGTGAAACCTAAAGGGCAATTATTTCATCGCAGAGAGAAAGGGTCTACTGTGCAAACAGGTTATGACCTAAATGAATATAAACAAGAGGGGGGAAAAAACGCTCTGGGTTACTGTTTTACCATTGCTCTGTTTGAGGGAAGCATGTTGATGGCCCAGCGTACGAAACTTCTTGCTGCTGTCACTCCTTTCTTAGTGTTGCCACCACCACCTGTTCTCTGTGGAGGGCTCAGAGTAGTGTTCCTTCACCCCTGCTTCGGGGTGAAGATAACGTTTTTAAACCAGCCTCAATGCCTGCAAAATGGTCCCATTGCTCCTGTTGGTGGGCCAGTTGCTTCTCCAATGCATCTCCATATCCCCATCACTTGTTCTTACAGAAAAAAGCCACCGCGTTTGATCTTCAGCTGTACCACCTCATCTGAGAAGACTGGGAAATGAAGTGCAGAGAGATGGGAAATTCAACAGGTCTTCTTGGGCTATTAATCCAAATACCTTTTCCCCTTTCACTGCTACTGAGTGTAGTAATTAATGCTTAAGATGGATGAGCTACGGTATTTTCACAGATATTAGCAGCAGGCAGCATACATTGCTAAATGATTCATCAAAAAATTAAACGCTGCCTTTGCTTCATATATTAATCTTGTTGCTGAAAACTGATTAAAAGATGAGTTACTTTTTGCCACTGTGTAATTCAATTTTACTTGATATCACAAATAATTTGTATCAAGTACAGCATTAATGGTGAGCTTTGCTTTGTTTAAGGAACTCGCTCACTCTCTCCCTTCCAAAGATGCATTTTCGCCTTTGGCTCCAGGAAACTGTATAAAATTAAAGAGGACAAGTCTTTGCTACAATCCAGGTTCATAAGTGGTCTAAATTCTATTTTCAGATGCTTACAGTTTTCAAACCATCCGTCTTCAATAGTAAAATTTCTCTCATCTTCTCTGTGTCCTAAACCAAAGGTTATAGTTGTCAATATCCTCCCTTCTCTGCAATCTTAGATATGCCAAATTATTTCTGAGATAACTAGGAAAGTACAATTCAACTTCCCTCATTCCACGTTTCTCACACTTACTCCAGCCTATCGATGCAAAAGCAGTTGTTTCTAACCAAGCAGGTAGATGATTCCCTGAAGGACAGTGCTGTGGCAAAGCTTTTTGATTCGCTTCTAAATTAATAGTTAAAGTGATATAGTGAAAATCAATCAGTTACACTAAACATCAGCACTGACTGTGTTATTTTTTCTTTGAAAAGCACAGATTTCAGCACCCTTGGAAATACAGTCTTCAAGTGCGTGGACATTGATTTATAGTGGCTTTACACAAAGTGCTTCCATAAACACTCATTTACCAAAATGCTGTAAGTAGAGCCAATTAGAATTTATGTGCAAATATTTCAGATGCTTTTGATGATCGGTTTTTACAGAGGGAAACATAAAATATGGTTCTGAATGGTATTTTAAAATTTTTCATTACCATATAAATTGTTTTTTTCTGTTCCTTGAAGAAGATTGACTTTAAATCAAAGTGAAATTGTAATTGCTTTATTTCAAAATCTCAGATCCATGCCTTTTTTTTCCACATGGACTAACTCTTACTGTGTGAACACCAATATTTTCAATTGAGGAATCTGAAATAAAATTTAAATTTCTAATGGGGGGAAAAAAATTAAAGCTACATTTACATATTTACATCGCTGTAAACATCAAGGTTACTCGGTATTTTCTTCAGGATTTGAATTTATTTACAAGATCATGAGAACTAAGCTCATTTAAATGCTGGCACAGTCAGTTCCAAACCTTAAACCAGAAATTAAATTTGAAGGGATTTAAGAAAAAAAGGACAAAGAGGAGGAGTTAGACTACCAACTCCAACCTGTCTTGGAAGTTGGGTCCTATGCTGAGTTTACACCTCTGAAAAACCTCTTTTACCTTAATGCTACAGCAGAAAGATACCATCATGCTGGCTTATAAATAATACAAGTTCTTTAATTTAGCCAGAGTAATGGAAAATATCTTGTGTTGATGATTCTTTCTATACTACCAGCCCTTGAAGTCTGAAGTTGATATTGTCAAGTATATAAAAACAAATCACACGGGTGGAATGAAGCAACTCATGAGCACTAGTCAGGGTTTGCTCTGCCTGTGTTGCTGTAAGTTCAAACTGTGTATCAGAATCACGTGGGACCCAAACGAGTCTTAAACAAGGGCCTAGAACACTTACTTGCCTAAGTATATAGGATCACAATCTTATATTTTATCATTTATATTTCACTAAAGAACAGAGCAGTTGATTAATGGAAGAGAGGCCAGAGGAATAAACCTCTCAAATATACATAATGAGGGGTATGCTCCACTTTATCATGTGCTAGTATACAGAACATTACAATTGGAGTAATTTTGGCTTCCGTGCCTTCAGGAACTGAAAGCTACAGTTTGAAGATATTAATACACATGTATCTATATTAGTCTCCATTTTTTAACGGAGCTGAGAAAAATTAGGCAAGTTAAAGAGTAAACGCACTCTGTTCTTCTTCCAGTTATGCTGTTCACGTTCCAAAAAGGCACAATATTGTTTCGCTCAATGAACTAATCAAAAGGGAATATTTAAAGCTAATTTCACTAAAACAAAACTTCCTCATTCTGAATATAT